TGCCATCTGGCAGACCCAAGACCTACTTGAGCTTAGCTAATCCATCTTAAGCTAAGCAAAGCCATTGTACCCTCCACCCATCAGCGGGACTTGTGATTTAGACTCACTGAATCAGGTGTTGCCGTCATTGAGGAGTGGCAGTACTCCCACAAGAGCTGGGCCCAGTCCAAACTGAACAGATGGCACAGAGGTTGGGTGAGACTGGGAACACTGGCTCAGTCAAGTCTTCACTGTCACGGGGACCGGAGATGGAAGAGTTGCCCAGCTTCCCTGCTGGATCCTGGTTTGAGGGCATCTCTGTCAGATCCTGCATAGGCCTTGGCCTTTGCACTGCTTCCAGGAATCCGCATTTGAGTCCCTTCCATGGGGCTGCACATAGTTCATCCTGTGTTCTTCTCATAGGGCCTCACAGCTGCTCTAAGGGTTAGGCTGGTGGTGGACCTGTTGTCAAGCCCATTTCTCAGATGGGTGAACAGATGCTGGCCTGAAGAGGAAGAGCGATGCCCCCAAGTTCACCCACGAAGTTAGTGATCGAGCTTAGAGCTGAGCACAACTTGTCTGTCACCTCCTGCTACTCGCTTTCTTTTCTCTTCACTCTAGATGAAATGTCCTCCTTAAATGTGCCAGGCTCCTGTCCTCTCAGCCCTTTGTGCTTACAGCGCCTCTGTTTGGCAAGCTCCTCTCTCTCTGTCACACGTCATTATCTAAAAGGCCACACATCTGTCTTGTCAGTCTCTCCTTGTACCCCTTGGTTTCTTTTCTATGTGACATGTCATATGTTTATTGTTGTAGGTCTCTGTTGTCTGTCACCCCGTTAGCACGTAAGCTCCTTGAGACAGACTGTCTCTGTCTTATTCGTAGCTGAATCCCTGGTGACTAAAACATGCACAGAGCATGACAGATGCTTAGTAAAAGTTTGTTGGATGAATGAGCAAAACCAGACTGCCTCTCTCCTGGCCTGGAACTCTCCTCCTGAGACCTGTGCATCCCAGGGAAGCCGGAAGATGGGGAGAATGGAGGAGGGTTTTGTTCACGCTGGAAGGAGGCAGCCAAAGACACATTTGGCATCCAATCCAGGCTGTGGCCCTGGAGAGTCTTGGTATGTCAGGAGCTCTCTTGGGCTCTCAGGGCATCCCGGGGGCTTGAGGGGATCAGCAGGACAGAAAGCGCTTCACCTTCAAAGCCCTTCCCTCAGAGATGGCACATCTCTGCCTACTTCCCCTGCCTCTTTTTTGTTGGGGGAAGAGGGTACAGGAATCAAACTCAGGCCCCCACGCTTGCCAGGCATTCTGCCTCTTCTTGAATCTGTCCCGCAACATTTATTGAGCCGCTACTGTGTGCCAGGCTTAGGACTGGGAACCAGGAAATTAGAGACAAGTGAAGCAGTGTCTTTAGTTCCACAGTGCTCACAGCTTAGTTGACAGAGTGAATGAGAAAACACCATGAGAGCGCAGAGGGAAGAATGGCAGAGGAGGTGGCAGAGCAGTAGCGGGGGAGCATTTGACATAGATGACGCTAGTCAGGCCCAGGATGGAACAGGACAGGAAGGGGAGATTTCAGGAAGGGGAATATTCAAAAGAAACCTGTTTTCACCTACTAGGCGAAAGTCCTACACGTGCTAAACAAGCACTCAGCCACTGAGCTACATTGCTGATGCTTTTTAAAACTCTTATTAGATTGCCCAGGCTGGCTTTGAATTTGCAACCCTCCTGTCTCAACCTCCTGAATAGCTGGGACTACAGGAGTGCACCACCATGCCCAACTAGTTCTGGTTCTTCTGGGGTGAAGAGAAAGGAGAACTGCATTGCCAGCTAAGAGAATAAATGTGCACTGGGTTCAGCTGAACTGAAAAGGTGAAGGACAAAGGCAAAGCTGGAAAGACAGGTTGGAATTAGATATCTGTGAGCCTTGAGTGCCAGATTTAGAAGCTGGGCTTGTCCTGTTGAAGTAGGTGCCATCCAGAATTTTGAGCCAGGCTGACTTGGTCAGGTTTGTCCTTTAAGAAGCTAAGCTTGGCCTCAGTGTGCAAAGTGGTTTGGAGTAGCAGGTGGGCAAGCATGGAGATGAGCTAGGGCATCGTGGACGTGGCCAGGCCAACAGTGGCCAGGACTAGGCACAGAGATGAGTGTGGAGGAGCAGATGGGTTCAAGTGCTGATCAGAAAGCAGACCTGTACACGCTCAGGGAGAAGGCAAACAGAACCGAAGGTCGGTTTCCAAGGCTCCACTTCATGAAGCTATGTAGATGTGGACTGGGAGCAGAGGCCAAGCTGGCCAATCCCTTGCCCTTCCTGGGCTGTTCGAGGCAGCTTCTCCTGGTGGCTTATCTGTCCTCCCATCTTCCTGCCTCAGGGTTTCACATTTTCTGTTTCCTTCCCTGCCCTAAGTCACAGCTTCTCTCATGCTGTCACCTCTGGGCTTTTTCCAGCTTTCCCAGCAAAGAGCCAGGCTTGGATTTTCTCAAGCACTAAACATGTCTCATGGGACTTATTCCAATGGTGGAGGTGTAGCTTTGTTGCTTATTTTGTGTCACTGCACTTAACCATGTGCTCTTTGAGGGCAGAAACTGTCCGATTCATTGTTATAGTGCTGCCCTCAACACAGAATACAATTACCTCGTGGCTCATTAAAGGTTTTTTTTCTGAGACAAGGTTTCACTATGTGGATCAGGCTGGCCTTGAACTCATGGCAATCCTCCTTCCTCAGCCTCCAGAGTGCTGGTATTACAGACATGTATCACCACACTAGGCTTCACTGAACTCCTCTTGAATGAATAAATGAATGAGTGATGGATTAATTAATGAGGTTTACTCAGATGCCTGATATCTGATGCTGTGGGGCAGTTGGACTCAGGCATTAGGCTCATACTTTTTTTTGGTACCAAGGATCGAACTTACAACCTCAAGTTTGCCAAGCAATTACGCTGCTGAGTTAAACCCCTGGCCCCTAGGTTCATACCTTGAAGGAGGATGGATTAGAAAGTTTGTTACTATGAATGAGCCTCACAAGAAGTATTTTTCCAGAATGGTATGGTGAGGAGTCTGGCACTTCATGGGCTGTCCTTGATTTAAATCTGTTGTCCCTGGTTTTACTTTGAAGGATACAGAATTTGAGCTTTCTGGTCCCTGGCCAGCAATATTTTTGCCGCATCGATACACAGTAAAGTCCAAATAAAGGGAAGTGAAAATCCTTTTGCTCCATTTCATTCCTTTTTCAGTCTAAGTTGGGTCACTGGCAAAAACACACCAGGGAGTCGGAGGGATATGAGGAGAAGTCCAAAGTCTTCATCACGTGCTAGGACATGAGGTGTGCAAGGGCCTGATTCTGCTCACAACCTGGTGTGCCTGTGGATGCAGGAAGCCAGAGACAAACCTGATACCCCCCCCCCGACACACACATACACACACATGCACCAAGGAGTCTCAGGGAACCAGATCACGTGGGTGAGGAAGGGCTCTGCTCCAAACTATCCGGCAATGAAGCTGGTAGGCAGTGAGGGCCCCATCGGTGGAGGATGAATAATTTCCACGTGGGGCTGATAAAGAAAGGCCAGAGCAAAAGATGAGAGACTGAGCCTAGCTTGCCATCAGAGTTCCCCTCCTTTATGAGGTGGCTACTGTTAGGACAGGAAATAATCATCAAATATTTGCTCTGCCTGGCTCAGCAATGGAAGGGTAGCTGCCACCTGCCTCAGAGACATCTATAGATCTGTGCCGGTGTCTAAGGAGGGGCAAGAGAATTTTGAAACTGAGTGAAGAACCACTGGGGACCATGGGCTCAGCTGCAGATCTGGGGTTTCTGCTGGTCTACAGAAGTGACTGGGGGATTGCCTGATGTCCTCAAAGGGCTATTTTTGAATAAGAATGTTTCCATTGACTCATTGTACTATTCTTACAATTTCTCAGTAGGCTCGAAATCTTCCAAAATGAATCTTAAAAAAAAAAAAAAAAACCAGATTCCATTTTTCAGCACTGGGGATCAAATACAGGGCCTCCTCCAGGCTAGGCAAACCCTCTACCATTGAGCTACACCTCCAACACGACACTGATGTTTTGACTTAAATATTTCCGAGTGAAGCCCAGTTCTGTTTACATGTACCTCACTTCATACTCCACAGAATGTTCTTCAATCTGATACCTTTACAGCAGCCCTGGAAGGGAGGCAGAGCCAGAATTATCACATCCATTTTGTGTATGGGTAAACTGAGGTTCAGTTAAGAAAAGTGTGGGGGCTGGGGATTTAGCTCAGCAGCATAAGCACCTGCCTTGCAAGCAGGCAGTCATGAGTTCGATCCCCGGTACCAATAAAAAGAAAAAAAAAAAAAAAAAAAAAAAGAAAAGTGGCTTTTCTGAAGCCAAACATGGTGGTACATGCCTGTGATCCCAGCACTCAGGAGGCTGAGGCAGGATGGATCGCTGTGAGTTTGAGGCCAGCCTGGACTATATAGAGGATTCAAGGTCAGCCTGGACTACATAATGAGATGCTTTCTTAAAAACACAAAACGGGCTGGGGATTTAGCTCAGCGGCATAAGCACCTGCCTTGCAAGCAGGCGGTCGTGAGTTCGATCCCTGGTACCAATAAAAAAGAAAAAAAGTGTAAAAACAAAAACACAAAACAAAACAAACAAAAAAAAGCAGCCATGTCTCCAGTTCTTTTTTCTGCCTTTCACTACCTATTTGCTGGGGTTTTTTCCCTCTCTTTGTGTTTTGCCTCCCCATTACGTCTGTCTCCTGCCCTCCCTCCCTCTGCCCTGGCCTTTGTCTTTCTCTGTACCTCGGTTCTCCCCCACTTGCTCCCCTCACAGACCGGAGTCACCTCGGCAGGTTTCTAATCCCCTGCCCACCCTGGAAGTCTGCCAGGCCCACAGCTGCCCGTGAGTGCGTCACCAGGAGCTCAGCATCTCTGCCTTGAGCAAACCCTTTTCCAACTCCAGGATGCAGAAATTACCTTGGGGTGACACTCTGGCCTCCAACTGATCCCAGATAAGATAAGGGTGGGAATGGGCCCTATAAACAGGTCTCCTTTCTTCCTCCTGGCAGCAGGCCCCAGCTAGCTGCCACCGCACCTGCTCAGGATCAGCATGGCTGTCCGCCTGTGGGTAGTTGCCCTGGCCTTGGCTGCCCTCCTCATTGTGGACAGGGGTGAGTGGGCAGCTTGGTGATGGTCAGTGAGCTTGGGGTGGGGACAAAGGAAAGCCTGGAACACCACGCCAGGACTCAGTTTTCCTCACTGGTCTTGTGTTTCACATGTGCATGTTCCTTTATGGTGGGTAAAGCCTGACCAGGAGAAAGAAATCTGACTCTAAATCCTGACCTTGGACTATAATTGCCACCCTCCGCCCCCTTCGTAGGCCTTCAGTTTTTCCAGCTGTAAGGTAGGAGGTTGTTCCAGCTCAAAGCATTTACTAGGCTGGAGGGGAAGAGGCAGGAGAATGTGGGTTTCAGCCATTAGGAGAAATGGGCAGGTATGTTGGTTGCAAGCTGGTGGGTGCTGAGAAAGACTCGGCCTGGGTTCTCTGAGCTGCTGCTCTGCCCCGACAGACTGCCATTTGGGACTGAGCACAGATTTGTGAGCATGTGGGAGTCCCCCATCCTTGGGAGCTCTTGTATGGAGCTAGACATACTCCTGGTGTGGGCCACCCTCAGGCCTGGGACATCTCAGCAGCTTTGCAAAAATTGTGTCAGCAGCTGTTCTGGGACCTACACACATTAGTGATCAAAAAGAAAAAATGCTGTCCTGATGGAGCTTAAATCTAATGGGATATAAGGAAAAGAAAACAGATAATAAGCGCGAAAGTTATCATAGGCAAGAAAGCTGAGGCAGGAAGATTGCAAGTTTAAACCCCATCTGGGAAGCTTAGCGAGAACTTGTCTCAAGAGTTGAAAAAAAAATTTTTTTTAAGGGCTGGGGATATAGTTCAGTGAGAAGCTGAGTACTTGGTACTGGAAATAAAGAGAGAGAGAGAAAAAGAGAGTCGGGGGGAGGATACTATGTTAAACTGGGTGTGGTGACTTAGTGAGATCCATCTTGAAATAATAAAAAAGGCTGGTGATACATCAGGTTCAATCCCCAGTACGACAGAGAAACAAACCCAAACCGGGATGTGATAAAGGGCAAGTAAAAACAGGGGTCTGGGCAATGGGGCCTGGGAGGGGTTTGCAACTTTAAATCAGTGGAGTTGTGTCTGAGAAGCTGATGGGTGAGGAAAGCTGAAAGAAGGTGAGGCACAGTTATTTGGGACAAAGGAATTCCAGGCAGGAGCCCTGAAGTAGAAGCTCACAAGGAGGCCAGTGTGGCGGGGTGGTAAAGACATGACCCACAGCACTAGGAGATGAGGGCGGCAACTGGGAACACTACTGTGGGCCCGTGTGAAAAGCTGGCTTTTTCCTCTAAGTGAAATGGGAGGCATTGAAGGGTTTGAGTGGTTATGGCTGCAAAGAATAGCTCTATTTGTTCAGGATAAACTCAATAAGAGGCAGGGAGAACACTTGGGACCCACACAGACAAAAGCCATAATGCCACAAGGCAATGCTTGGCAGGACCGTTTGCCAGGTGGGACAGAGACCTAGAACCTGGATGTGAGAAACGGGTCTCAGGGCTCTGTTCAGCCGCAGGCAGCGCACTCCTGGCCTGGCACTTGTCCCCTGAGATGTTCATCTGGAAACCTTTCAGGGTCTGCCTTGAAGAAAGAGTTCCTGAATGCATTTAGGCTCCCATTTGGCTCCTGTGAGGAGAAGGTCCTTAGTCACGGGAAGCTTGGGGATAAATGCAATGGAAAAATACTGAGACCACAGGGTTCTGAATACGCCCCTCCCCAACACACAGTGGTCAATTCTTGAACACTCCCCTTGTGCGGCATTGAGCAGATGCTACATGGGGGCAGAGACAAGGAGCCCCGGGAGATCGGGATCCTAGGGAAGTGGAGACCCCAGAGTGAGACAGCACATGGTTTCCTGATGTAGCCCCAACCAAGTCTGCTCAGGAACCATGGGGGCAACATGGAGGGCAGTGGGCCTTGAAGATGTCCCCCAGGAAAAGACCAGGTACAGGGACTTTTCCGCCAGCAGGGAAGTGTGTGAGCCAAAGAGCCTGTTCCAGGAACAGCATGCAGAGGGAAAAGGGGTTGATGGTCATGGAGGGCATACTAGAAAGTGAGCCCAGGGAGCAGGGTCGGTGTCAGTTCCCATAATGCCTTAAACATAAGACCAAGGTGATCAGGTCCACAGAGAGCTTTAGGGATCAGGACAGGGAGCCATGGGAGGGCTTTGTATTTGTTCATGTTTTTCTTTTGTCTAACAGTTGTGTATCACGAAATGCATGAATCTTATCACTTAATAGATCTTATCAAAGGGCTTCAGCAGTGCACCTACAAAATCCAAACCTCTGCTGGGACACAGAACATTTCTGCCGCCCCAGGAATGTCCCTCCTGTCCACCCCCCACCTGCCCTCTCTGCTCAGAGGTGGCAGAGCAGAGCTGCTCCGTGCCCAGGACAACCACTGCTCTCTTCTCTTTCCAGCACAGCTCAGTTGGCCCACTCTGGAATTCTACTCGAATGAACTCACACACTGCGTAGCTTTTTATGTCTGCTTTCTTTTGCTCAGCAAACTGTTTTTGAGATTCAGCCACATATGTATACTTGTTTTTTCTGCTGAGTAGTATCACTAGTTTATCCATTCTCCCATGGAAGGGCAAGAGTCATTCTTAGTTTGAGCAATTATGATCTGGAAGGGTTGTGTGTTTTGTTTTTGTTTTGTTTTGTTTGTGTGTATGGGGGTGGGGAGGTGGAACTGGGAATCAAACTCAGGACTTCGCATTTGCCAGGCAGGCACTTTGCTGCTGAGCTCTACCTCTGGCCCTGGAAGGGTCTTAAGCAATTGTAGCAGCAGGACTGGATATACACATTTTGATGCCCGACAGCTAGGCGTATCAGAGGTGGCTGTCTCAGTCTCCTTGGAAACCTCTAGTATAATAATATCTTCAGAAAAATGTTCCCTTCACACTTCTAGTGACAAGGGACCTAGTATTTCCAGAGAAAGACCCTTCGTTTTCATTACCGCATAGCTCCCACGGTCAGAAAATCCTGCTTCATGTGGAACCAAACCCTCTCCTGCAGCCTCAGCGGCCAGGCTCTGCTCTTTTAATGTATGTGCTGCCGAAGTAAGCGCAGGCTCTGCTCTTTCTCAGCCCCAGGACGGCCCTACAGAGACTGGAGGAAGCATCTTGCCCTTCTCTCTGCACAGCCACTCTTCCTCCCACCTGCGCCCTTAGGAATGGGTCTGGTTCCCGCACCTGCCTGTCATACTTTTTTTTTTTTGTCTTTTTTGTTTTTATTGGTACCAGGGATCGAACTCACAACTGCCTGCTTGCAAGGCAGGCACTTATGCTGCTGAGCTAAATCCCCAGCCCCTTTGCCTGTCATACTTACTTGTCATGTCAGTTTGTTCACATCCTAAAAGCTGTTCAGCCAGACCTTCACAGGCACAACTGTGTGTGTAGAAAGAGCCAGGCTCTCGTGTGAGACCCATGTGCAAATCCTGGCTCTGCCTCAACAAACTGCTAAAGGACTTCTTTTTTTATTTTTTTATTATTATTATTATTTTTTTGGTCTATCTTTTTTTGCCTTTTGAACCCAGGGACTTCCCATTGAACTGCATCCCGAGCCCTGTCTTTATCTTTTATTTTGAGACAGGGTCTTGCTAAAGACAGTAAGCTGCCCTGGCTGGGCTTGAAAGTGTGATCCTCCTTCCTTGGCCTCCCAAAGCATTGGAATATAGGTGTGTGCCACCACGCCTGGCACTGCTGGACCTCTTCTGTGCTCTACGTCATTCAAGTGCCCAGGATATCAGACTATAGGATCTGCATGCCATTTATTGGGGAGTGATGCCAATGAGGGCACAGGAAGTAGACAGACCCAGTAGAAAGTTCACATGACCCCACAGAGAGATCTGCATCTGACATGGCCCCTCAGCACTGTTCCAAGTAGAGGCAAGGGGTATAGGACCTTTGTACCCCATCAATACACGGGGCTATGAGCTGTCCCTGGAGAGGAGATGCAAATTTGAGTGAAAGAGCACCATTCTCCCAGCTAATTCCTAGGAAGGGACTAGGAAGGGACCTTCTGTGAGTCACTGACACTCCTAGCAATGAGTGTGTCAATCCTGCAGTGAGCTCTGGGTTGCTGATCACAGATAGCATCCACTACTGCCTCTCTCCTTTCCTCTGAGTAGTAACAAAAGTATGGACAGTAATTATAATCACATATTTGCAATGACTGGAATGTAATAACTGTTGAATTATCATTATCATTATGTGGAACACACATTCCAGTGGGATCCAATGAGAACAGGCTGAATGGTTACCTCTTTAACTCTAGACTTTCTGTCTCTATTTATATAATCTAAGATCACATGAACTCGTATCAACTTTCCAGCAGCACCACTGTCTGGTGACTCACTATCTTTCCAGATTGAGCAGTGACTGGGCCAGGTCTCCATAGAAGGAGAAACAGTACTCAGATCCCATGGTAGGGACATCCAAAACCAACATGATTTTCATGTTATATGCTAGGGACTGAACACAGGGGCCATCTTCAGCCCTTGCCTGGAATTTGTAGTCCTTCTGCCTCAGCTTCTAAGTAGCTAGGCTCATAGGTGTGCACCACCAAGCCCAGATAACATCACCTAATTTTGCTTTTTTTGTCTTTCAGAAGTGATAGTGGCATCAGAAAAATTCATTTCTCCCAAAATGGTAAGGCAGCCGGTTGCTCTTCTAGCCCCTGCAGAGAAGTCCTCTCTTCCATGCTAGGAAGCCCATATTACAATTCTCCACATTCTTGCTCAAATATCTTCTATGGTCCCAAATTAGTCAGAGTGACCTCCTGAGCCTCCAAATCCCCCAGATTGCCTCCTTCAGTCTAGGGGGCCTAGCCCACTCACCAATTTCCTAGCCTGCTTTCAAAGCCCTTGCAATCTGCCCCAACCTGGTCTCCTAGGCCCCTTCTCTGTGAGATCCCCGCTCTTAGGCTCAACAGGACCCAGTACTTTCTCTGCTTTAGGCAGAGTACATGGGCCATAGAGTTCGGCCCAAGAGGTGCTCTTGCATACAGCATAGCCCTGCAGAGCACACCAGCCTCCTTAAAAAACACTTCCTCATTCATCCCCTCACTCTGAAAAGGCAAATGTGAGCCGCACCTGAATCCTGCTTCTACCTTAGCTGGGTTTCTAGTGATTCCAAGGTGGTGGCACTGACATTCTTAGGGCACTCAACCCACTTCATTGAATAGGTTAATGAGAAGGCTCACAGCCACCTTCCTCAGCACTTTCCCCTCCAGTTGGTCAGAACCTGGTTCCATTCACCTGGTGCCAGATAAAGAACCAAATATAGTACTTTACATCCAGTAAGTTCCAACTTAGGAACGAGTTGTCTGTAAGTCGGATTCATTCATAAGTCTGACAAAGTGAGTCTTATACATCTTTGGCACAAATATACAATGTGTATACAATCATTAAAAAATCAAACATGGGGCTGGGGATTTAGCTCAGCAGCATAAGCGCCTGCCTTGCAAGCAGGCAGTCGTGAGTTCGATCCCTGGTACCGATAAAAAGGAAAAAGACAAAAAAAAAAAAAAAAAAAAAACCACACACACAAATACTGTAAATAAATTATTTTTACTTTTATAGCTACTTTAAAATGGTGGTACAGTACAGTACAATTATAAATAAACTATTTTTACTTTTGTAGTTACCTTAAAATGGCAGTAGAGTATAGTACAACGAGCATATAAGAGATTGCCTGGAGTGAACTGACAAGAAGAAAGTAACTAACTGGAGCAGAGAGGGGAGAGTAGAGCCATCTAGGATGAGAAAAAAAGAGCCACTACTCAGACATCACTGGATCAACTTTTTTCAAGAGGGTAGACAGAACTGAATTCATCAAAAAGCCAGTGTCATCCACATGAGATGTGAATGAAATTTCACCACACCTTCCATCTCCTACGGCTCATGATCATTCAGTTCCACCACCTCCTACCTCCCCTCCCACCTCCAGTTGGTAACCATCACACTGTACATAAGCACACAGCTACACAACTGTAACAGTGTCCGGCAGACATGTGAGCTACTTCCACTATCTGTTGGCATCTATGAATGTTGGTAATGCGAGGCCCATTCTTATCTGTGAAAGTTCCTAACTCAAATATTCATAAGCTAGGGACTTACAATATATTATTTTAATCAATGTCATGTGAAAGGAACACTACTGTTTATAATTTTAAAAGGCGAGGAAGCATGTTCAGATCCCAGTTTATGGATCTAGTCAGTGGCAGAACCCTCCAGAGCCCAGGTGTTCACTGCTGCACCACATTGCCCCCCTCACCCATCTCCGTTCTAGGCCCCACCTGTCAACTGATTAGTGAGCCTCAGGCATGGCCATGGCCTAGCCTCATTTTGCCAGCCTTCCTATGCTGTTGTACTTTGCTGCCATGGGCCTGGTCGATCATGCAGGCCTGGGCAAGTTCAGGAGTCCTGAGGGAGAAAGGCCTGCTGTGAACCACAGTGGCTCTGTCTCCGGGAGTTCCCAGGTAGAGCAGCAGAAGAAATTCTAGTTAGACTCTCTGACGAACGCACGAACCAGCCCCCAGGAGCTTTCAGGCACAAACTGGCTCCACACATATCCACAAGCACACGTCTGGATGTTCACACACCTGGGCTCAGCAGACACAGATGCATATTTACGCACACACCCAGGCACAGGCACACATACATGGTCACACACACTCACAGATGCAAACACACTTGGGCTCAGAGTGATTGGTTTCATGTTCCCTGGACTCAAATGAGCCTTCTTGAATCCGCCTCCTCTTTGCCTCTCAGGCTACAAGAAGGATCCCTGGGTCCTTGCCCACTCTGCCTAAATCTGAGTCCCCTCCCTCTTTTCTGTTCTACAGCCTATCTGTGACCACAGGAGAGAGCCTCCAAATTGTCCCCAGACACCTAATCTCATCTGTGGCACTGATGGGGTCACATACAACAATGAATGCCATCTCTGCCTGACCCGTATGTAAGTGTCCCTGCCTTGCTTGGGATGCACACAAGAGTGCCCATCTCCGGGGCACACAAATTTGAAAGCAGCAAGACTTGACTGGCCTCTTTCTCCACACACCGAGAAGACTCTGAACCTTAACCTCTAACAGGATTAGCCTAAGTGTAAATTCAAGAAAGGAATAAGGTGCTAAGCAGAAAGCAAAAGCAGACTTCGGTGGAAGTGGAAACCTGTTTGTTTTGTTTTTTGAGACAGGGTCTTGCTGTTGGTCCAGGCTGTCCCTGAATTCATTATGTAGCTCAGCTTGCATGGAACTCAATCCTCCTGCCTCTGTCACCAAAGTGCTAGGATTACTGATGTGTGCCACATCTGGCACACCTGGGGTTCTTTTCCTTGTTCTTCCAGGTAACCTCATTTATTTTCATTCCTCAAGCCAAGAATTAATTATTTATTGAGCCCCTACTTTGTGCAAGCCACTGAGGATAGAATACAGCACAGTAAGACATGACAGTACTACTCGCCTTCTGGAGCACAGTTGGTCTAAGGGGGAAGCCAGGTTGATGGCAGTTAATTACAGCACAGAAGCTCAGGGCTGGCCAGTTATGGTGGTATACATCTGTAATTCCAGCACTTGAGGTATACATCTGTAATCCCAGCACTTGAGAAGCAGAGGCAGGAGGACCATTTAGTTCCAGGCCAGGGGGAAATACAAAGTGAGTTTTAAGGTCAGCCTGAACTGCATAGTGAAGCCTTAGCTCAAAAAGACAAACAAACAAACACTTTCCCTGAAACCACTGTCGAGGAAAAAAAAAAAAAAAAAAAAGAGTGCTCAAGGCTCAGGTGGAAGCAAGGAGGTACAAACCAGGGAAGATCACCTGGAGTGCCAGCCCTCAGGAGGGCTAGATACTGGCTAGACAGGAGAAGGTAATTTCAGGAAGGAAAGAGTACATGGCAAGGCCTGGAAGGATAGAACACATGTAGGAAGAAAAGTGTAAGAAGTTTAGGCACACTGGAGTGTAGTTCAAGGGAGAATGAGGCAGAGGCAGTCAGTCCAGTGAGGTGAGGAGGGCCAGAGCGTGACCTTCGCTCATTAGTTCATCCACTTCATCTCAGGTTCTTCACCGGTAACATCCTTAGTCTGCTGCTAGATGGGATTACGGAAGACAAACTGCAAAGCTCTAGACAGATGCAGTATGAGGATATATGTGGAGGACCAGGACATTGTCCTGGCTTTAAAAAGATCCTGATAACTAAAGACACATGGTTGAGAAATCCTGTGGGTAGAAATGACAGGGCTCCATCATTTCTGATGGGATGGGAAGGGGGACGGCAGAGAAGAGGCAAGAGTTATGGGTATGTTTCTAATTTATGGGTGACTGATGGTGTCTTATATCAAGATGGGGATTATGGAGATAGTGAATGGCAGCTTTGGGGGCATCATTTGTAGAGGGCTGAGCCCCTTGCATATCCCAAGACAGATGTGCAGCAGTAAGCTGCATGAACAGGCAGAGGGGTCTATGCTGGAGACACATCTAGTAGCCAACAACATGCAGTGGTGGTTGCGATCTCCCAGAGGGAGGCCATGAAGAAGGAAAGGTTATAAAGGATGTACTCATGGACCGACCCCTAGGACAGGGAAGGCAAACTTGTTAGAACTTTCAGTGACACAGACAGCCCATTGCAGCACTCTTATCCTAGGATCTACCCTTCATTGGTACATGGTAAGGGTTCAGAGTGTCCAAATGAACTGAGCCTGGTCCTTGAAGGGTATGTGACAGTTTCCACAGAGACAGCCTCATCCTTGTTTCCTGTGATTCCAGGAAAACCAAAAAAGACATCCAGATCATAAAGGATGGCGAATGCTGACCCCAAAGGAATGCCTTGAGCCATGAAGCTTCAAGCTGAAGAACAGCAGTGGGCAGAAGATGTGATGTAAAACAAAAGATCAGGGAGCTGGGGATTTAGCTCAGCGGCATAAGCACCTGCCTTGTAAGCAGGCAGTCATGAGTTTGATCCCTGGTACCGATAAGAAGGAAAAAGACAAAAAAAATAAATAAATAAAAATAAAAGATCAGGGGCTAGGGATTTAGCTCAGCAGCATAAGTGCCTGCCTTGCAAGTGTGTGGTCGTTGAGTTCAATCCCTGATACTGGTAAAAATACAAATACAATAAATAAATAAATAAATAAATAAATAAATGATCAGCCCAACTGGCAAAGTGGACCAGTGTCTCGGGAACTCGGTTACAAACCTTGCGTTGTCCGCCCTGCTATGAATCTGAAGTGCACCTCTCTGATGCTCAACTGTGTGACATGTCCCCTCAGAGGTCCCAATTACCTTCTGCCTCCTACATTTCTAGTGCTCCTGCCTGCCCAACCTGCACTATGAGGACAAGGATGTGAATGAGATCAGTACCCTTCAGGGGTATAGTTCAGTCCTACCCATGCCCTTCATGGCTTTCTGCTAGGCTGTGACAGCACTTGGGAGTATGCAAAGACAACAAAACACAGCAGCTTGGCACAGGCACAGTGTGTACTCAGGCTATGTGCACAGCACAACTGAACCACTTATTGTAACATTGAACCAGAAGCTGCCCCAAGTATTCCGAGTGCTCCCTGCCCCTTGGCCACTCAGATTTTCACCTGGAACCCCTGCATCCCCCAAAATCCAATGTCTAGGGTTAATTAACTCCTAGGCACAAGACTTCCACACCTGCTCTGCTCTTTAAGTCAGCATCTACTGGCTGGTTGACATTAAAGAACTCCAAGCACACATGCACTCACACAATGGCCTGTGGGGACCCACAGCATCCAGAAATCCGAGACCCAAGCTTGTGGTGTATGCCAAAGCCTATAGGAAGAACAGGGTGTGGAGGCCTGGCCAGGTCGGAGCAGTTTCATACAACTTAGATTTCCCCCCAGAGGGTAAACAAGTAGGTAATGCCATGGGTGTAGTGGCACATGCCTGTAATCCCAGCACTTGGGAGGCTAAGGAGGACGGCCTTAAGTTCGAGGCCAGACTGGACTACCTAGTGAGTTAAAGGCCAGCCTGAACTCCACAGGGAGACCCTGTCTCAAAAGAGAAAAAAGAAAGAGAGAAAGAAAAAAGAAAGACTATGGTAAAGCACACATCAAAGAAGAAAGCAAGGCAGGGAAGCAAGGAGTCAATATTCCCTGAATCACTAAAATGAGAACACCAGAAGGAATTGTTGCTGATGGATTCACAGGTGACGGGAACTAGGTCATCTCTAGTCCTCATTACCACTGTTGATAAACTTGCCTCCCACCTTCATATGAATGATATAGGGTTAAGTTTGGCTGTGAGAGACAGAAAACCAAAATAGTAGTGGCTAAAGATAAGACATGCTCCTAAATTGTGATTCTCCACACTTCCTACCTTAAGGTCCAAAACAGCTCTTCCAATTCCAACTGTCACATCTATATCCCAGACCACAGAAAAGAGGAAACAGCATAACACCTGCCATAAACCACTGAAAGCCTGGAATAGTGTCTGGCCCACAGTAACCTCTAATAAAATGTGGCCCATCCAGGCATGGAACACACACCTGTGATCCTAGCTCCTTGGGCAGCTGAGGTAAAAGGATTACAAATTTGAGGCCAGCCTAGAAACTTAGCAAGATTTCTCAAAACAAAAAGTAAAAATGTAGTTCACCAGTCTGGACTACATAGTGAGATACTGTCTCAAAAAAAAAGCAAGCAAGAAAGGGAGAAGTTCAGTGGTAGATGTCCTAAATCGTTGTAGCCCAAGGCCACACAAATATATACATAAATGGACAGTGAACTATTAGCATTGAAGCTGGGCTGGGCCCTGAGCCTCATCCACTTGTTTCTCTATCACTCCTGGTCTGAGGTCTAACCTGTCCAGTCCTAGTTTCCTGGGACCGCAGAGAATTTCTTTCTGCCAGATGAAATGACTCTCAGGTGGCCTGTAGGGAGCCACTTTCCAGGGAACTGTGGTAAAGAACGAGTGACACCAGTTGAACAGTTTAAGAGGGATGCCATCGCACACAGTCACTCTCAATTTTCATAAACTCCAACTTTGGGGTTTTCTGTTTTGGTCTTTTTTTTTTTTGAGGCAGGGTTTCACTATATAGTTCAGTAACATAAACTCTGACTAATGGCACAAAAAGCTTTTTCTTCTCATATCTCATCGATCAAAACAAAAACACTATTGCTGGGTATGGTGGCACATGCCTATAATCCCAGCACTTCAGAGGCTGAGGCAGAAGGATCTCGGTGAGTTCAAGATCACCTTGGGATATGTAGTGAGTTCCAGGCGAACCTGCACTAAATAGTGAAATCCTGTCTCAGAGAAACACAAAACAAAACAAAATCATTTTTCTGCTTGATAATAGGGACACAAATGGGTTTTTTTGTTGTTGTTGTTGTTTTTGTTTTTGTTTTGTTTTTATCGGTACCAGGGATCGAACTCACGACTGCCTGCTTGAAGGCAGGCGCTTATGCCGCTGAGCTAAATCCCCAGCCCCTACAAATGGGTTTTTAATAGCAATGGTAGTTCGCAGAAATCCACAAAACAAAAATAGTTTCAAAGGAAATGGAGATGTCAGAAGGAGAGTTATCAGAAATGCCCTGAAGGAAGCATGCGTCACTCCTGAGAAGTTTCTGGAGCATCACACCCTGCTTACATCACTCTTCTGGCTCCCTTTCCTCGCTTGCCCTTTCTGGGCCATGGTTCTAGTTTGCACAGTAGGTTCAAACTTCTGAAGATTTGCTTGAGGACAAGGAAACCCACCCACCAACCACAGGCACCACCCCAGGAATGGCCTTGGTGTTTCAATGCCTGCGGCTAGACAGGGTCACTGGGAGGTGAGGATAGCATCTCTAAACCAACAATCTACCCAGATATTCTGGAATTAGGTCACAAGGGACAAGGTGAATGACCTAGTCAGGCCAGACACCTGACTAAATGCAATTTCCCAATGACTGATTTTACAACTACGGGACGCTGAGACTGCAAGGCTAAGAAAGCCTTGGTGTGTCTAAAGACAGGGCACCTGATAAACTCAACAACACAGCTAACTAGCCCACAGAAAGCACCTGGGGTCACAAGAGCTGGCAGTTCATGGGCAGGGAGGCCCTTTCCAGAAAAAGTGGTACAGGACAGCACAGCCACGAAGAGGCAGAACAAGAAACAGAGACCAGCTCTACTCCAGGTTGCAAAGACGGTACGTTTTCATTGAGAACTGGTATAGTAGCAAAATTGACATCTGGCTGGTTGCCTCCGGCAGTTCTGGAGAAACAGACAGCTCTTTGGTAGAGAAGGCAGAGTGCTGGTGCTGCCCCACAAGGCGGCAGTGCCTCTCTCCACCGACCTCACTCAGCAAGGGCCAAGTTTGTGGACTGCAGCCTCTCGGTCTCCTGGCAGATGTTCTCTTCCACTGTGTCGCACTCAGCGAGGAATGCCTAAAAGGCAGACACAGAATAGTGAGAGCCCTGCCAGAGCTGGCCAACCACTGTCCGACCTAAACCTGGCCATCCTGTAACCTCGGGTGAGACCCTAAACAGCCTGTGCATGGGCAGGGTGGGTACCCAGCCTGGGCTCCAAACTGAAAAAGCTGGGGAGACGAAGTGTAGACCTTAGGAATTCTGACCGTGGGTCTAGGGCAGTAACACCTGAAAAGGTCATACAGACAGGGAGTCTTCCCTCAGGCCCACAGTTCTGCAACAAAACATGAAAGGTGTCAGCACTCTGCTCACCAGTGAACTTCTTTAAATAGTTTAAATTTAAACGCAACTATGGGGACATGAAGTAGACTCTTCACTAATGCTCTGGGTTCATGCTGATAAGGAAAGAATAACCAAAAAAGTCCCATGCCATACACATTTCTACACCACCCTACTTTGAACAGATAAACCCTGCACAAACAAACTAATGCACTACAGTCTGCCATGTATTACCACACAACTCACCTGAACCTTTTTCACCAAGCCCTTCCTCTTTAGCCTACTGTCTTTGAAATTTTCTGGTAGGATCTATGGAAGAAAAAGTTGGCATACAAATAATCTCCAGTGACAACAATGCAAGACATATCAGAAACATGAAATATACCAAACAGGCTACTGATGTGAATGAAATGTGTGAATGAAAGGAATCATTTCTCTAGGTCTGTAACCTACACAGCCCTTTTCCACAGCTCTTGTCCCCATAAAAGGAACTTTGTTTTCAGTGTCTGGGCCATAAAAAACTGATCTGGCCAAGCACAGTGGCACACGCCTGTAATCCCAGCACTTAGGAGGCAGGATATTGCCAAAAGTTCAGGGCCAGCTTGGGCCACATAGTGAGTTCAAGGCCAGCCTGAGTTACACAGTGAGACCCTGTCTCAAACACACTCGCACACACACCTTCAAATGATTTGTAACACACTTTGTTCTTTCACTGTTTCCTGTGATGCTATGCCCTGGCCAGATCATGTACCAGGGAAAGCACTGTTGCTTCTTTTTTATAACACACCCCCACCGTCCAGAGAATCCTGAATCCAGAGTGCTTCCCTGTTAAGAATAAAGAATAGGGTTAGAGATACCATTACTGTCATCTATAAAAGAGAACCCAGGGTCAATGATTCAATAGCTTCACAAGATCTTGGTCTGGTAGAATTCTGTGTAGGGAATGAGCTCAGGGGAATCATTAGTTACCTGAGTGCCAGGGAAAATGAAACCCTGTGTTTCTTTGACCATGAGATCATGAAACACTTGCATGCCAGTTTTATGACTAGAGATTTCAGTTACATACACATGCACATACCATCAAACATTTTATGCACACATGCACACCACACACACTCACACACACACATTTTTTAATATCACAAAAGCCATATTGTCGAGCTATCAGTGCCTAAAGACTGGGAACTGGCCACTCTTCTGTGTACTCATCCAGGATCAAGCATGGTATCGGGCGCACAGAGGTAGATGTTCAACACCCTCAAGGGTTGTGTTTGCTCAGGCAATAGGAGTGTGCTACTGAAAGAATGAAACTGACTGAAATGCTGCCATAGAAAACTAATTCTTCTGAGCTGAATGTTTATTTACCATTGTATCAATCTCTTCCAAGATCTTCATAAACTGTTCAATGGTGGCTTTTACTCTCCTATCAAGTTTGCAGAGAGCCTCAGCTTGCAAATCCTTGGCCAGAAAACCCTAAAGAAGAATCATACATTACTGGAAAGGTTGCTTGAAACTGATGGAAGACTCATGCCATAGTACTCATGAAGCAATCATACTCCCAGTCTACCACTGTTGGAACAGGCCAGGCTGCATCTCAGACCCACAACTCCATTCCCTTGGAAAACAGGAAGACTACCCTTAGGCCAGTCCAGTAACTCTAGCAAGCTGCAGGTGTGTATCTGACATACACTGGCATGCCTCAAAAGCTTCCTGAGACCTGGCTCTGATGATGCCCCCAGTGCTAAGTGTGCACCTGCACACAAGGGGCAGACAAGACAAATGCACAGGTTTTAGGTTCTAATGGGCCTGTGCTTGAATCCTGACTGACTTATGCCTTACAAGTAATTTTTATTTTCTGTGTTAGCACCAATATGTTTATTTAAAATTTCTACACAGCTGGGCACGGTGGCACACTCCTGTAATCTCAGCACTTGGGAGACTGATGCAAGAGGATCGCTCCAAGTTTGAGGCCAGCCTGGATTACACGGTGAGTTCAAGCAACCTGAACTACATAATGAGATCCTGTCTCAAAAACACAAAAACAAAGACAAAAAAAATTCTATATAAGCACAATCATAATGAAAACACAGCACACATTCATCACGTTAAAAAATGAGGGAGGAAAAGGTGATCTTGCCGCTATTCCTAATCTTTACTGGGTTTCAGTAACCCATCTCTAATATGAGAAATTGAATAGGACAACTCCCACCCTACCACATGTCACTAAAATCAACATGGACCTTTTATGAATCAACAAAATGTTCTTTGCTTTACCAAATACAACACAACATCCTAAACTGTGAGAAATCACCTGTTCTGTTTCAGATACTACAGGATTCTAACATGTCAGGTGTTCTCCCATGAATACAGTTGCTGGTTGGGGTCTGACATAGCAGTGATAATAATACTATAAAAGTACTTTTTTTTTTTTTTTTTTGCATGCTGAGATTGAAACCAGGGCCTTGAGCATGTGGAGTGAGCACTGTACCAGTGAGCTATTCCCCCCCTAATAAAACATTTAACTCTCACAACAATTACTTTGAGTGACATGGGACAGTCAGTCCTATCAGGTGGCATGAGCTGCGAGATGGGACTGCCCTGCATCCACCACAGGTGGTTCACGCTGGTGGGAACATGTTAAATGTTCTTTTTTACTGGTGAGAACCTTGAAACCAAGACAAACTTGTCAATAGTAAGAGAAAGGGCATGAGTTGGGGATGTAGTCAGTGGTAGAGAACTTGCTTAGCATGAGCAAGGCCTTAGGTTTGATGCCCAGCACTGACATGAAAACAGAGACAGAGATATAGATACCAGTATCTGAGCCTAGGGAGTCTGACTACAGAGCCCACCCTCATAACCACAAAAATTATCACAGAAGGTAGAAGGTCAGAGTTTATGAAGGATGTTACCTGCTGGATTCCAGCAAGTTCTTTACTCAACTCTTCCAGGTGGTTAGCTATCTTTTCCACAGACTTCTCCAAATTTTTCAACTTCTTTAGTTCAACTTCTTCCTCTGGATTGCTCTAAAATGATGAATAAAATGAAGTAGAAAATCATCAAGACCAGAAGCTTCTGATGGGGAGAAAATCTGACTACAGTTGGGCTAACCCATTCAGCTAGAGGTTCTAGCTTTCTGCTTGGAAAACAAATTGAAGGGTTATATATTGAGGTATTCTACCTACAAAGATTGTAGTCTGGACAGAAGGAAAGTGTTAAGTAACCCTGTTTTTTTTTTTTTTTTTTTTGGTACAAGGGATTGAACTCACAACTGCACGCTTGCAAGGCAGGCACTTCTGCTGCTGAGCTAAATCCCCAGCCCGAAATAAACATTCTTACGATGGTTCAGACAGTGGAGCCAATCTATGTACCAGATTGAGCCTCAGCTCTAGGCTTATCAATAGCCTATGTTGAGACTGGAAGGCAAACAGATTACGATCAACATCTTTGAGGAGTCCAGAGTGCCAAGATACACAGAATTCACCTATTTTAAGCGGAATTTCTAAATGCTACCCTCCAATTGAATGTTCCTATTTAATATGAGAATGACAATGAAGAATACTTTTTTATTTGGTGGTACTGGGGATTGAACCCATGACCTTCACACTGAACTAATTACCAGTCCTTTTTTTTTTTAAATTTCATTTTTCATTTTAAGACAGTCTCACTGAATTGCTTAAGTTGGTCTCAAACTTGCAATTCTCTGCTGGGCATGGTGGTGCATACCTGTAATCCCAGCACTGAGGAGGCTGAGGCAGGGGGATTTCTGTGAGTTCAAGGCTAGTCTGAACTGCATGGTGAGACCCTGCCTCAAGGAAAAAAAATTGCGATCCTCTTGCTTAATCTCCTAGTCTTGGTACTTAATGAATACTTTCACTGAATACTTACTACATGTCAGGCACTATCCTAAGCATATTAATTACCTGTAAGTTTTTTTTTTTAAACCTTACCACAGAAGAAGCAGCCATGCTGGAACTTGGAGGACCAACCAAGAAAGCAATGAGCCTTCCTGGTAAGCGGCATGAGTACAGGCACACCAGGGAGAGAACAAGTCAGTGTCTCCTGTGAGCCTCCTGTGAGCACGCAGGCTGAGAATCAACCGACCCCTGTGTCTTCTCTGTGTGTGTGTGTGTGTGTGTGTGTGTGTGTGTGTGTGTATGCACGTGTGCATGCACGTGCGTGCATATTTGTGTGCGTGCCCCCAGTTTAGAGGTCAACCAGAGTTGATAGCAACTGATGTGCATAAAGCAACTAAATGCTTATATTGCTTGGTTGATCATGCTGACCTGGGGCCAGCGGTCTGAGCATCTCTTGGGAGGATGACAGTGTGCAACACAGCAAATACGGGGGATTCCCTTCTATCTTGTCTTTGAAGGCCAATATTGTTTTCACTGTTTTGCTTTGTTCTGATTATTTTGCTCTATTCAATATTCTGTTTTGATTGGTTTTATAGTGTTCTGTTTTTGGTTTGATTTTGCTATGCCTGATTCAACGGGCAACCATTGTGAAGATAATAAGATATACTGTGGTACCTATTACTGTTAATCCGGTATCCTGCTCTGAAGTTCTGTACCAACTTCAGTGCATTGTCTTGATTGGCTTTGTTCTGTCTTGTTTTATTGTATTTTACTATCAATAAAATAAAATAAAAATAAATCTAAAACCTTACCATAACCCTAAGGATATGCTATTTTACAGATGATCGAACTGAGGCTTACTATATTAAACTAAGGTCACACACCCAAACAATACAGAGCAGACTGAAATTCAGACCAGTCTCTGTATTTTCTGGGACAACTGCAATTGGAAGTCTCATAGCTTCTCTAAATTCAACCCATGGCTTCTGCAGCTGCTCATCCCCATTCTCCTCCCTACTCTTCAGCAAGAAATTTAGACTATTTGGCCTTCTCCCACCTAAAACTAGAAACCAGGGCCAGAAACTTCCTGCTTTGTTACACTGTCCTATGTTGTTTATTCTTCATGGCCAAATGCCGAGTCACAGTCTCCTGACAATTCCATGTCTGGCTTAGATTTCCTTTCATTTTGCTAATCTCTGGCCCCTTTCTCCTCATGCACCTCAGCTGAGGTAAGGAAACTCCATATGCTCAACAACCCTACTGTGCTACTGTGTCACAGTGCTTTTTTATCACCTGAGAGGCCAACTGCCCTCACCTGTCACCAACTAGATCTCCCTTCTCAGTTCTCTGGTCTGAACTTTTCTAGTCAAAGAGGTTTTCCCCTTCAGGGAAGATTCTAGTAAAAATGGGAGTTAAAGGGAGACATTTTTTCCATTTTTTTGTTTTGAGACTAAGTTCCCACTAAATTGCTAAACTGCCCAGGCCAGGCTCAAACTTGCGATCATCCTATCTCAGCCTCCCAGAGTGCTGGGATCACAGGAGTGCACCACCACACCTGACTCATGGCACAGTGGCTCCTAATTCTTAGACAAAAATCCAAATTAACAGGAGCAGAGAGGTTCAGACAACAGAACAACGAAACTGGTAACTATCAAACAGTGACTATTTTTTTAAAGAAGTGTTTTGCCAATGCAAAATCTCGGCCCCCAGTTTGGCCTTCTAAACAGAAACGTGAATAAAAGACTCAGGCATTTGATTCTGTAGAATTTATGTGGAAAAGTAACTTACTTTTTCCCCAATTAACATGACTCGGCAACCATTCTGTATTCCAAGTGCTGACAATGGCATCTCCATTTCCTTTAGAGATTTTCCTGAAAAGAGAAGAAAACTATGTGAATGATAACAATTGTATAACACAGAAAATAGATTTCAGCAAAGACACAGGAAACAGACAAATGTATTCACTCATGAGAAAAGGATGAATCGGTATAACCATTTTATTCTATTCTACTCTATTCTTTGGTACCAGGAATCAAACTCAGGACTTCATACTTGCTAAGCAGGTGCTTTTGTTGCTGAGCTCCATCCCCAGCCCCAATATAACCTTTCAAGAAAGTGTCTTGAGGGGCTGGGGATTTAGCTCAGCAGCATAAGCGCCTGCCTTACAAGCAGGCAGTCATGAGTTCGATCCCTGGTACCAATTAAAATGAAAAAAGACAAAAAAAAAGAAAGTGTCTTGACCCAATTTCACTTGAGATATTTATCTTAAATAACTGGACATGTGCCTACACAGCAACTGTTACACACTACAATTTTTTTTCTTGTTACAATACCAAGGATGGACCACAAGGCCTTTGTATTAAGCTGTATTGCACGACCTCCCCCCTTTTTTTGAGCTAGGCCTTCACTAAGCCTTCAAACATTTTGTTTTAAAACATTTTGTTTTAAAAATCATGCCAGTTTAAATTGTCTAGACTGGGCTGCAGTCTTCAATCTTTCTGTCTCAACCTCCCAGAGTGCTGGAGTAACAGGTGTGCACCACTACACCTGCCTTGGTACAATCCTGTAATAGTGAGAAACCATAAAGAGCCAAATATTCAAGAAAAGGGAGGCTGATTAATCATACATTTGTACAATAGAGTCTGTGGGCATTAAAACATTTTGTTAGGACACTTCAATCACACAATGAATGTTGATGACTCAATATTATAAGGAAAAAAAATGTTATCAAAAGGCCTGGGGTTCAAACTTTAGAATGCAAAAAAAAAAAAAAAAAGGTTATAAGGGGCTTTACTCAAGGGAACATTTTCTTCTTTATGTTTTCTTCTGTTTTAGAACATTAATTTCTGTTGTCTTTATAATTTGGAAAATGTTTCTTATTTTATGAGACAAGGGTCCTTTATGTATTCCAGACCAGCCTTGAGCTCATTATATAACCCAGGCTGCTCTCTAACTTGCAGTGATCCTCTTACCTCAGTCTCCTAGGTGTCAGCCAATTTTGTTTTAAAACAAAATGTTTTAAAAAAGAAAAAACAAGGAAATGCCTATCAAATATAAATAAAAATACTCCATATTATTAAATTCTTTATAATGATTGATATCCAGTGAAATAAGTCTGCCCTTATCAAATTATCAGAATAATGGATTCCCATGTGAACAGGAAGAAAGACAAGGGTAAGGAGGGGATGGGCCCTAGGGAAAATCAACATCATCCAATGGACCTGTCACATCCAGGCCCCTGGTAAGTTTGTTCCAACTTTTCTCTGAGTTGCATAATGCCAAACACTGGAAACATAGCATGATTCTGCACTCTTGGAATTTGTTATCCTAGTAGAGAAACAGATGTTAAGCAACAAAGAAAATTTCAGTACAAACTATGCAGAAGTCGTAGCGTGTACCATGTGAACATAGAGGATATAACAAGAGAAGACTATGTCTATGTGCTTTACCAAAAATGGTGAGATGTCTACCATCATGCCAGTTTAAATCTGAAACCTGTCCAGAACCTTGAAAAATTCAGTACAAAGCAGGTCTTTAACAAGTATTTGTTGAACAAATGAATGAATAAACACTGTCCCACTTTGAAAATTCAGTTACCATAATATAGGGTAAATCTGCTCTTTAGTCAAACAAACTCAAAGCTAGAAGAGAAATACCTACCCTTAAATATGAGCTTTTGAAATGTCAGTGGGACCCCTGTAGCCTCTTCAACAGCCCGGGCCAGGTCTTGGACAACTGGTTCAGTTCTGTCCTGCTGAGCAGTAACATGAAGGTCATGCTTTTCACTGCCTGGGCAGAAACAGAAAAGCATTTGATCAATCAACTCTTTCATATAAACCAGTATAGCAGACACTTTATTACATTAAATTTACCCAGTCTTCAAGGACCAGTTCATGTGCTACTCCAAAATGCCTTCCCTCATCTGCTTAGCTTTCCTCTCATGATCTGCTCCAAGATATTTTTCCCTTCCTATTTTAAGAACTTCAAAGATAGCTAGTATTTTAAGCACTTATGCATAAGGGACTATACTAGATTCATTTCATGCATTATCTTATTTACTTCTCGGAGAAGCTCCTTGAAGCACTACCATTATTCTTTATTTCATTGACAAGCAAGCTATAAATTGAATTTAGTTAACACTTGCCTATGGCAACTTAACTAATGGAACAAGATTATGACCTTTAATCCAGCTGATTCCAAAGCCCACATTTTTCATCACAAGCTATCTGCTTGTGGCCTGGCTATCCTATATACCATTGTACTGGTTTTGTCTCCCTTGATGCAATATGCAGAGACTGCTTCTTCCAAGATTCCCGCCTGACACAAAACTAGGTACACAGCAAATGGTGATCAGTAAAGATAAACACAGTCAAAGCTCAGTAAATATTTTTTGAAGCACAAGTGCTGTTTTCCAAGTAGGTGGATATTCAGTAACTGGCCTATGTCCAGTGCATTACACCAGGCCTTAGTTCTCCCAACAATTCCATGATGTTAGTGGGGGCAGGGGTTACCAACTCTACTTCATATAGAAGAAACCACAGCCTAGAGAGGAGAAATCCACAAAGTCACTCGAAAATGGAGGAACTTGGCATATTCCTGCCTCCCCTATCTGGTTAAGAGGAGCCTGAAAAGACTAACTGGAGAGTGTACTAACTTTGTTTAGTTTTGTGTCAACTCCAAAAATGACTGGACTACTGGGCCACTCAGTGGATGTGTGGCACCTAAGGCACTCAATAAACAATGAGCCTGCCAATCACGAAGTTTAGACTCATTACAATTGTAGGTGTTCACACTACAGTTGTACACAACATAACCAAATACAAGCCTGACACATATAGTAAGTGCGCGAGCACATAAACACACACAACTAGATCCACCATCTTTTAACATCGAGGATCCACCAAATGACCAGACAAAATACTCCAATCACATGGAAAGGTGTGCAGACACAGGCCTTAGACTAAAGCTAGCCTCAGAAGCAGTCAGGAATCCACGGGACGACAGGACAAATACAAGGACCCACGCTTCGAGACGACACGTGGCCAAACCCACACAGAACTCGCCGGACCTACTGAACTGCCACAAGCCCACCCAGGTGCCCGGCGCTCACTGTGGGTGACTGTCACGTTAAGTTCGGCGGCCGCCATTTCCGGGATCGGAGTCACCTCCTCGGTCCGGGCCACCTCCTCCGACCAGGTGACTTCCTTGCCCCTGGTCACCTCCTTGGTCTGGGCTACCTCCTTGATCTGGGCCACCTCCTTGGTCTGGGCCACCTCCTTGATCTGGGCCACCTCCTTGGTCTGGGCCACCTCCTTGGTCTTGGCCACCTTCTTGGTCTGGGCCACCTCCTTGGTCTTGGCCACCTGCTTGGTCTGGGCCACCTTCTTGGTCTGGGCCACCTCCTTGGTCTGGGTCACCTTCTTGGTCTGGGCCGCCTTCTTGGTCGGGGTCACCTTCTTGGTCTGAGCCACCTTCTTGCTCCGGGTGGTGTGGGAACGGGCTTTCTTCTTTAAGACCTGCGGCTTGCGAGCGCCGGCGGCGGCGCCCTTGGTGGATCGGTCATGTCCACTGACTGCAGTCCAGCCAAATGGATGCTGAGAGGAAGGAGGGCGTTGGTGGGCCGACGGATCTGACCGGCGTGGCACCCGGGAGGGCAGAGGGGCGCGCCGCCGGCGGCCCAGCCGCTCCCGGTAGCCTCGCGATCCCGGCACCCTACTGTGCTCAGCCAGCCCCGCGCTGGCGACCCGCCCAGCAGAGGAAAACAAGGTCGCGTAGGTGAACCCCACCAAGTTATTTCCCCGCCCCCCCCCGCCTCGGCCCCGCCCCCGCCCTGGTCTGTCCACCACGCCCTCCGCGCTGCTGCCCTTGCCTATCCGCTAAAGCCTCCTCTAAGCCCCACCCCTTCAGCCAGGGCCCCGCCTCATTCACTCGAAGCCCCCGCCCACCTCAAGCACACACACCCTTGGCTCCCGCCTACTGTATGCTCCCTCCCCCGCCTTTTCCAAAACTGCGCTCCTTACCTGGAAGCCCGAACTAAAAACCCGGAAAAAGGATCGAGAAATTTCAATGAACACACTGCGCTTGCGCTTGGGAGGGCCGGAAGTTGAAGTAGGAGAGATTCCGCTTCCGTTTCCAGTTTTCCCCTCAGTGTTTGGTTTTCTTCGCGGCCGCCCAAGATGAACCGATTCTTCGGAAAAGCGAAACCCAAGGCTCCGCCGCCCAGCCTGACTGACTGCATTGGCACGGTGAGCATCTGACCATGGATAACAAGACCCAGTGCCTCCCACTCTCCCGACCCCGCCCATTCGCGTCCTCCGGCTGCTACTCTTCTTCCATTCCCTGTATCGGCCCTTTACGTGTCGGCCCTCTCCATCCGCCACCCTCGTCCCTTCATCCCTGTCTCCCAGGTCCTGACACCATAAACCAGGGACCCTCCACCTCATCAGCCCGTTCTTATGTCCATCGCTGTCAGCTCTTCGCCTTAGTCCCCACAGCGCAACCTGCCTGAGGCCCATATTCCGTTTCCCACCTTGTCCAGCCCAATCTCTTACCCGCTCTCCGTCCTCTTCCCTCATCCATATCAAGGCCCTTTCTGTGATACCCTAAATCAACATATCTGAAACTTAGTCCTGAGTCACAGTAACACAGAATTCAAAACCTTGTCCCCCCAGATTAAGCCACCACCCCTACTCTAGGAAATGGCGTTGGTGCCACCGTCTTAGCCTGTGTCCACTGGGCACCTTGTTGGTGAGATCCAGCCTGACCAGGCTGTGATTATCAGGAAATCTCAACTTACCCCAGTGATAAACTTTTTTTCTACTTCACTCTTGAGGAGTACCCGCTAAATCAGAATATGAGGAAAAGAGTAGTTTATGAAAGCTCCCCAGGGAATCACCTTCAACTTCAAGCAAAGCACTGTTTTCCATTCTACACCATAGGCTTTGTTTCTTTCTTCATGTTCCTGTCCTGACTCTTCCCGTGTAACTATAATGCAGTAACTACTACTAAAATTTCCTATTTTCCTTCAAGGTGGACAGCAGGGCAGAATCTATTGATAAGAAGATTTCCCGGCTGGATGCTGAGCTAGTGAAGTACAAGGATCAAATCAAGAAGATGAGAGAGGGTCCTGCAAAGGTAAGGTAGGCAGCGGTTGCTGCAGAAGTACTATGACAGTCTAACCACCTATGGAAATACGGCCTGGTGATAGGGGTTGGTGAAGAATACAAAAGAGATGCAGTCTGTTAAAGAAAAATATGCAGGAAGATGTATCCTTCAGGGAGAAGAGTTTGCAGCCAGATATGAAAGAGAGGTTGGACTTGATTTTTGTGAAGAGAAGGTGCTGATCACATGTTCAGAAGCATGTACATGGGAATGAGCATATTCTACTGAGAAGGTTATAATCTGGAAAGAAGGGTTGGGTAGAGCTCACATACAGTGAGTTGCCAGGTCGGTCAGAATAGGTAGATATTGACTAGTTAATTAGTAGCTTACTGGGAAAAAGTACTGAATTAAGCATGTGGGACCAATATTTTAATGCTATCAATATGACTACCTACTAGCTGTGACCTTGATAAAGTGACTTATTTTCTGCATCTGTTAAGTGGAGCATAATATATATAAGCACAAAGACTAGATGTAGACCATCTAATCTTTTCCAGTTCCATAACTTATTAGCCATGTGAACCAGGGCATTACTGAACTTCAGTTTTCCCATCTGCAAAAGGGTATAATATGGTGCTTTTTTTAGCAGCACATATACAAAAAGGGATACTATGTACTTTATAGTATGAAGATTAAGTGCAGTAATTCATGTGATCTGTGGAGCACCTCATCTATAACATAGTATTCAATGAATACTAGGTATTATTTGAAAGATAGTAATATCTGTTTTTTCTTCCTTATTCGAGGAGACAGATAAAACAATGTATGGAACATTATATAAAGGGAAGGTAGCAGATCTAGTGGCACAGACCAGTAATCCCAGCTCTATGGAAAGTTGAGGCAGGAGGTTCATGAGTTTAGCTCAGACTGGGCAACTTAGCAAGACCTGGTCTCAAAAAATAAAAGATTTGGGATGAACCTTAGTATAAAGGTTTTGGATTCAATCCCCAGTACTGCAAAATAATAGGAAAAGAAAGGTTTTTCTCTTTCACTGCTGGTACGGAATAAAGAACAGAGACAGAAAAACCCATCTAGACTTGAGATAAAAGCCTACATCATAAGGGCCAAGTATTTAGCTCAGCAGCATAAGCGCCTGCTTGGCAAGCACACGAGTTCAGTCCCCAGCACCAAAAAAAAAGAAAAAAAGAAAGAAAAAACAAAGCCTACACCATAGTTAGTAGTCATGAGAATGACATAAAAAGAAAGGGTCAGTTTGAAAGACAGCAGAGTTATTTGAAACTCAGTAGAAGACAACATAGAGGAAAGATGAGTTTGATGTAAAGGTTCTCAGCCAAAAGTAAGAGGTTGCTGGGGTCATATTTAGACATTTCCAAGGTGAGATAAGATTTTAGAATCTAGACTGGGTACAGTGGCACACAGCATTTGGGAGACTGAGACAGGAGGATTGCTGTGAGTTTGAGGCCAAGGGATATATAACGAGTTCAAAGCCAGCCTGAAATGTGGAGCAAAACTCCAAAAAAAAAGGATTGAAGAGGCTGGGCATGTTAAAGATGGGCTCAGATGGGCTCTAGAAGTGGAAATATGTATTATGAAAAGAAAAAGTGGGTCAGGACACTGAAATGTGGGATGGAAGGACAGACAGGAGTTAAGGCTTCATCCAAGACATCTGTGCTTAGTAGAGAAAGAACAGAAGCCACTATGTCTGTTACTTTGAAAAAGAAACCAGTAGGCATGTAAGTTTAAGGATATAGGAGATTTCTTTTACTATGTGTATGTTTTCTACTTTAGTAAAAAATTTGAATCTGTTTTTCTCCTCAGAATATGGTCAAGCAGAAAGCCTTGCGAGTTTTAAAACAAAAGCGAATGTAAGTTATGTGAATGATCTCCTTACTTCTAGCAGCTTTAACTAAAGGAAAACCCATCAGTTTTTCATACTGCTTTCTAAGCATTCTTGATAAGATTAAAAATGTTCATTAACATATAACTACATGCAGTTAGTTGACTTTTCCTCACCCTAAACATTTACAGCAACATCTGTGGTAGCATTGTCTATCTAATTAAAATCTTTTGCTATGATGGAGATGTTTTATATCTGTATGTCCAAACCAGTAGCTATTAGCTTCATGTGGCTATTGGGCACTAAAGTGTGGTTAGCATGACTAAGGAACTGAAATTTTATTTTATTTCTTTAATTTTAATTTATGTTTAAGTGGCAAAAATGCTTAGTGACTGTTATTTTGGATTGACCAGATCTAAAGGGTTTAGTTCTTTTATTACTTACCTAGTGTACTCTTTCTGGTTTTATTTGTAAAAGAATATTTATTCATTCTCATAAGAGTGAATTTTTTAAAAAATTACATTGCTGAGGCTTCTTGTGTGCTAGACAAGTGTTATACCACTGAGCTGCACCTCCCCAACCTTTTTGTTGAAATGGGCATGTGTAGTCCGGGGCTGGCTGTGATCCTCCTGTTTCAACTTTCTAGATGAGAACTTAAGAGGTGTGTGCCACCATACCTAGCTCACTTCAGCCCTTTGATTTTGGGACAAGGTCCTGTCAAGTTGCCCAGGCTGGTCTTAAACTTGTGACTCTCCTGCCTCAGCATCCCATGTAGCTAGAAGTACAGGTGTTGCTGACATTCCTGGCTTCACCAGAATAGATTTAAGGGGCCTTAATTTGTTTTAGGTGACCCATGTCCCAGTGTTGAGAGAAGCCAAGTAATTTGTTTAGCGCTGAACCTTGAGAACCTCTTAGCTGATGAGATCATCTGCAGGGTTTTGAAGGTCAAGCTTAATCAGCTAATATGGAACCCAAAAAAACTGGCTTTCTGTATTCAATTTTTAAGGGGCTTTTTATTATATATCAGGTATCATCTTCCTTTAGTTTTTATCACAGTGGAAAAAGAAATCAGGCCTGTTGTGAGAGTGTGGCAAAAGTAATAATCTTACTTGGTGTCACTGCAGTTTTTAAATGTTTTTTATTATGAAAGACATTACAAAATATAAAAAAAGAATGCAAGCTCATTGTAGAAATTTGGAAAATATATAAACATAAACAGAAGAAAAACTTCAGAATAACCTTTAAAATACCAATTTCTTACAGTTTCATTTCTCTGATTATGTACACGTATAATACATATATATGTGTCCATCTTAGAGAAGAACTTAAATTATAGTATATCTACTAATATGCAAGTCATTCTTTCCATTTAATGTTTGTTTGTTTGGTTTGGGTTTTGTTTAGTTTTTATTTTTAGTGTTTTTCAGGGCTGGTTCTCACTGTGTAGTTCAGACTGGCCTTGAACTCACTATGTAAGCAAGGCTGGCCTCGAACTCCTGGTGATCCTCCTGCCTCGGCCTCCAGAGTGCTGGGATGATAAGTGTACACCACCACATCCGACTTTGCATTTAATTTTATATTTTGAGCATTTTCGTGTCCTTGTGGTTATTCTGTAGAATCTTTACACTTTCTAACAAAACAATACCATTTGGCTACATTACGAATTTACCATTTTCCTTCTGATTAGGTAGTGAGATGGTTTCTAAATATTGTGTAAGGACCATAGTGATATCATCTTTGAGGCAGTATTATGATTTAATATAAAACTTTGTGGGTTTTTTTTGTTGTTTTTTTTGTTTTTTGTCTTTTTCGTGACTGCCTGCTTGCAAGGC